ATAACGTGTCGGCGTGGGGGGGGGGGGGGGACGAGGGATGGGGATCGACGTACTCCATGCGGCCAGCACGGCCCTTGCCACGGCCGGATGCATCGAAGCGCTCCTTGTGGGCACCAGTGTAGCCACTGGGATCGGTGAGACGATCAAAGATGTTGCCTCCCTTCTTCCCTGACATTCTGCTGTTGGTATTCGGTGACAAGTGGGACAAGTGGGACGGTCTAGGACAGCGGGCGGAAGGAACTGATGACACACAACGGAAACAGGTTCGGTCGGTTGTCAACCGATTCAAGTTGGCCTGCCAGGTTGATGAGCTACGTCGCTGGCTACAGAAGGTGGAGACGGCAGATGGCGCGGTACTGGTCGGGAAGCTCCATGAGGGCGGCGAGGGCAAAGGCCGCATCGGGGTTGCGTGCGCCAGCAGCTGCCTTGAGCACGGCATCCATCTCGACAAACTGAAAGTTATCAAAGTCGCGAGCGGGGAGCCCGTCGTCAAACTCGTGCATCATGTCCCATGGCCCGTCGCCGACGCCGATGCAGACAATGGAGAGCGGATGATGCGAGGCGTCGATGATGGCCTTGCGGGTCTCGCGCTCGTTGACCACTTGCCCATCGCAGACGATGACCAGGATGTGATACGCCCGCTCCTCGCGGACAATACCAATGGCTTGGTAAATGAGCGGTGCAAACGACGTCGGGCCCGAGAGCGTCAGCAGCGGCGTGACCTCGTTGTACGCGTGGAGCACGCCATTAAAGCCCTCGCAGGCAAGCCCGTCGGGCCTGAGCGGGAAGACGCCACGATCGCGAGTCCTCGAGTCGCCAAAGCCAAATGCCGGGATGATGTTGTCGTCGTCAAAGTCGGCCAGGGTCCTGCCGATGACCTCGATAACCCGCTGGTACGGGTTCTTGACGTAGACCGGTGAGTCTGGCGCGTGCGAGAGATCGATCCAGTGCAGCGACTTGCCGCCAAACGAAGCAGCGCCGTTGTAGACGTTGGACTTGGTGTAGTCGATGCCGATAATGAGCGACGATGACTCGAGGCCGGACTTTCTCAGCGCTTGCTGGACCTCTTCCAAGCTCCCGTACTTGTCAGCGATGGTCTCAAACCGATTGCTTCCATCGCCACTGCTCCCCGAGTTGCTTCCTGCCGACTGGCTGTTCCTTCCTCCCCGCAACAGGCGCAGGATGACCATGATGACCACCAGGCCAATGGCCACCCACATTCCGTCAATCTCCATTCTCTCTCTTGTCCGGGATGTGTGGAGTGTATGTACGTGTGAGTGTGGGTGGGTGAGTGGAGTGTTGGTCTCTGCGCCTGGCTGACCTGGTTCCACTTGTGGCAGCCATCTGTTCAGTGGTGAGGTCACAGTATTGCGAGACGGCACGGCGCCTGCACAACGCGGCAGGTCATGGTTGTTACTCACGAGCGGCGGAACATCTTGGGCGTCCACGAAGCTGCGGCCTTGAGTTTGGCCTTGGCTGCCTGGGTCTCGGCTGGCTCAAACTCGAGCATGGTGGCGATGACCTCGATCATGGCGTCGCGGCCCTTGTCCTGGGTCATAAAGCCGAGTACGGCTTCCTTGAGGTACTTCTGGCGGACAGCGGTGTCAGCGTGCTCAGGTGCCGCAGTCGGCACGATGACCATGGGGGTCGATGGTGTTGGCGGCGCCTCGTACACTGGGGTGATAGTGGCCGGTGGCGATGCTGGCGGAGACGGTGGGCGGTTGGCCGCAGCACGGAGCGAGTCGAGCTCGGCAGTGAGCATCATGACCTGCTCGCGGAGCTCCTCGGGTGAAACATCCATCGCGGCAGCATGCGCCGATGGATCGGTCATCTTGCCGTGAAGTTCCTTCCGCAACACGTCTAGCTTGCGTGTCAGTGCTGTCGACTCGAGCTCGGCGGCCTTGACCGCTGTCTGCGCGTCCTCGAGCTGCGCCTGTAAGTCGGCCGCCACCGCATCGTGCTCTTCAGTGAGCTCGGTGACTGCAGCAGCTGCGCGAGAGTCAGCCGACACCAGAGAGGCATCGAGCTCCGCGATGCGGGCGTCGGCGGTCGCGAGGCGGGTGGTGGCGTCGGCGAGTGAGGTCTCGAGCTCGGCGATGCGGGCGTCGGCGGTCGCGAGGCGGGTGGTGGCGTCGGCGAGCGAGGTCTCGAGCTCGGCGATGCGGGCGTCGGCGGTCGCGAGGCGGGTGGTGGCGTCGGCGAGCGAGGTCTCGAGCTCGGCGATGTGGGCATCAGCGGTCGCGAGGCGGGTGGTGGCGTCGGCAACGGTGGTTTCCGCTTCAGCAAGAGAGGCCTCGAGGGCGGATGTACGCTTGGCAGACGACGAGCGCAGCTCACGCAGACTTTCGGCCAGGGCGTCGCGGTCCGAGGTGAGCGACGCTATCTGGTCATCCTGCCCCGAAATGATGTCGCGTGCCTTGGCAAGCGAGGTCTTGGCCTTGGTGTCAAGGATTGCGTAGGCCTCGTTGGCAGCCGTGAGATCGGCTGTTGCCGACGCCAACTTGTTTCCAGCTCGGCCGACTGCTCCTTGGCCGCAGTAGTCTCCGCCTTGGCCCTGGCCAGCTGGGCCTCGAGCTCAGTCACTTGAGCAGATGCTGCCTCGGACGCAGCCGCGAGCTGGGCCTCGAGCTCAGCTGACTGCTCCTTGGCCGCAGTAGTCTCCGCCTTGGCCCTGGCCAGCTGGGCCTCGAGCTCAGTCACCTGAGCAGATGCTCCCTCGGACGCAGCCGCGAGCTGGGCCTCGAGCTCGGCCGACTGTTCCTTGGCCGCAGTAGTCTCCGCCTTGGCCCTGGCCAGCTGGGCCTCGAGCTCAGTCACCTGAGCAGATGCTCCCTCGGACGCAGCAGCGAGCTGGGCCTCGAGCTCGGCCGACTGTTCCTTGGCCGCAGTAGTCTCCGCCTTGGCCCTGGCCAGCTGGGCCTCGAGCTCAGTCACCTGAGCAGATGCTCCCTCGGACGCAGCAGCGAGCTGGGCCTCGAGCTCGGCCGACTGCTCCTTGGCCGCAGTAGTCTCCGCCTTGGCCCTGGCCAGCTGGGCCTCGAGCTCAGTCACCTGAGCAGATGCTCCCTCGGACGCAGCCGCGAGCTGGGCCTCGAGCTCGGCCGACTGTTCCTTGGCCGCAGTAGTCTCCGCCTTGGCCGTGGCCAGCTGGGCCTCGAGCTCAGTCACCTGAGCAGATGCTCCCTCGGACGCAGCAGCGAGCTGGGCCTCGAGCTCAGTCACCTGAGCAGATGCTGCCTCGGACGCAGCCGCGAGCTGGGCTTCAAGGTCCGCAGTGCGGACGTCGGCCTCGGTCAGCTGGGTTTCAAAGGCCACAACCTGGCCGTTAACTGCAGTGGTCTCAGACTGGGCTGTGGCGAGCTGGGCCTCAAGCTCGGAGGCTTGATCCTTAGCCGCGGCGAGCTGGATCTCGGCCTCGGCGCGGGTCTGCTCGAGCTCCTGATCCAGCTCACGCACACGCGCTTGCTCCATCAGCAACTCTCGGCGGAGCGCCTCCTTCTCGCCGCGAGCTTTTTCCAGCTCGGAAGCCATGCTTGCTAGCTGTGCTGAGTCGTCAGCACGCGCATTCGCAAGATCAGCCTCCAGCTCGGTCACCCGGGCATCCTGGAGCTCACTGTCTGCGCGTACACTTGCGAGCCTGTGCTCCATCGCGGAAACCTGCGCCTGCAGCTCCTTGTTTTCGTCGCGCAGGTCGCGAATTCGCGACCCAGCGTCACTCAGCTCGGCTTGGATCGCGGTCATAGCGGCGTCTGCCTCAACAGCACCAGCAACACCAGCATCGCGTTCGGTAACAACGGCTTGCAGCTGCTCCTCCAGCCCATTTTTCACCTCTTCGATGCCATCTAGCCTCAACTGAAGCTCTGAGTATGCCGCCTCGGACTCACGTTGCTTCTTCTCAAGCGCCGCACTTTCAGCCTCGACAGCTGCCAGCTTGTCCTCCAGCTCAGCCCGCTCAGCCTCGACGGCTTCCAACTTCTGATGGAGCTCGGAATCAGCGGTGTGCAGCACGCCCTGCATCTCGGCCCGTTCAGCCTCGGCAGCTGCCAGCTTGCTCTCCAGCTCGACTTGCTCAGCTTCAGCAGCTGCCAGCTTCTGCTGGAACTCGGCCTCGGCAGCTGCCAGCTTGTTCGCCAGCTCGGCCCGCTCAGCCTCGACGGCTTCCAACTTCTGATGGAGCTCGGAATCAGCGGTGTGCAGCACGCCCTGCATCTCGGCCCGTTCAGCCTCGGCAGCTGCCAGCTTGCTCTCCAGCTCGACTTGCTCAGCTTCAGCAGCTGCCAGCTTCTGCTGGAACTCGGCCTCGACAGCTGCCAGCTTGTCCTCCAGCTCGGCCCGCTCAACATCAACCAAGCTACCCTCGCTCCCACCCGCTCCAACTTTCAGCTGCTGTTGAAGCGCGACGTTTGCAGCCGACAGATCGCGAATCCGGCGGTCCTGCTCCTCGATGATGGACTTGGCCTTTCCGAGCGAGCTGGACGTCCGCTCCTTGAGTGCGGCATTCTCCGCCTCCAAAGCTGCAATCTCGGCAGCATTGCTCGCCCCCGATCCCTCGCCGCTCTGGACCTTCTCCGTAAGGTTGACGATCTCCTGCCGCAGAGCGTGCTCGACCGTCATGTGCTGCCGCTGATACTCATCGAGCATCTCCCTGAGCTCTGCCACCGATCGGAACTCCCCAGCCGGGAGAAAGTCCGACACCGCCGCCACCACACCAGCTCTTGCCGTCTTGACCTTGCGGTATCTTGTGGCAAGCATGGCATACTGCTGCGACTTTGCCTGGGCGTACGCCACCACCACCTGCCGCGGCGCCGACTTGACCGAATACCCCTGCTGCGCCAGTGCCTTCTCAAAGTCATTCTGTCTCCGCATACACACACACACACACGTACACACCATCCCCGTCAACATACCAAGCCACATACCACATCCCGATGTGTCCCCCAACCCCCCCCCCCCCATATACCATCACCAGTGAGTGGGTCGCCACCCTCTCCCCGCCCTCCACACATAGGCAGCCCATGACCACTACGGACACGTACATCCCCCAGCGCACGTACCTCGGCAGACGAAAGCAACGCGCCTCCGTCCTCGCCCCCCATGCTCGAGTCGTCGTCTGCTATGAGCCGCGCTTTGAGCTTCTGGAACATGTCCGAGGTTCGCGCCAAGTGTGCCGAGTCGCCGCTCACCTGCTGCCACCGCACACTCGCCGCAGAGCCCACCAGCCAGCTTGTGAGTCGGAGACGCGGCTGAGGCTGTGCAAGACCATCGGTGCTTGGATTTGTCGAACATGATGGGCATTTGATGGTTCTCGAACAATCACATTCAATGGCTTGGTACTCGTCATATATACCTCGGATCACCTCGCGCGGATATTGCGGCCATCGCGGCTATCGCGCGCAAGCTCAGATCCTTGTGGGCGCTCGTAGGGCTCCAGTTGCGACGGTTGGTACCAGCCATGCTATGCAATTCATGCATGGTCCTACGTGCGAAGGCGCGCTGGTATGCGAAGCGCTGCTGAGAGTGCGATCGCTGGTGCCACTAAGGCAAGCGAGATGCTGGCGCGGAGAAGGACGAGCCGGAAGCCTGACCAGAACGAAGAGACGCCTTCGCTCTGTGCGACATCCTGCGCGATGGCGAGTCCGTCGGCTTCGTGGCCAGACGTCAGCGCCTGGACCACTCGCCGCTTGAAGACAAGCTCAAACGGGATGGTGGCAAACGAGCAGGCAAGATTGCAGATCAACGGCGTCGCTGATCCGAGGATCGGCAGCGATGCGCCGCCCGTCACGGCACACATGCCTGCTCTGAAAAGAGAGAAGGCCACACGCCCAGCCACGGCCTCGGGCATGCCCACGAGGAGACTTGCGACGCCGCGTTCTGCCCACAACTTGCGCACCGCCGCCATCCAAGCCACAGTCGCCTCAAAGTGCTGGCTCTGACCAGCCGGAGCACATGCAGCAGCTTTTGCAACCTCATCAGTCGACAGACTTGCCTCACACCAGGCCGCGATGGCCGCCACGGGGCTCAGTACAACTGCTGCGACGGCATCGCAGGCCAGCGAGGCCAGCCAGGTTGCTCCAACACCTGGCAGACCGATGGCTATCAGAGCGCGTGCTAGTACCTCCGATTGTGCCCGTAGTGTGGCATGTGTGGCCAGTGAGGCTCCAATCGCGCCCAGATGTACCGGAGCGGCCTTAAACGCGCCGCCGAGCGAGGTGGCCGCCACCGCCAGCGCCGCCTGCGACGACAGCTTGGGCCGAGTCTGCGCAATGGTCACGGCCCTGGAGAACGGGCTCTGGGCCACGGTGGGTATCACCACGAGGTAGAGGGCAGCAGAGGAGATCGACATGGTCGCGGGCTGCCGCTGTAGAGACAGGTGTTGCCCCACGGGACAGCAGTCGAGCACAAGTCGTCGACGTCGACGCGGCAAAGGCGCCGTCTGTGCATTACGCCCCCCACCCCTTCCCCGCACCCATCACACCCCACACCCACAACCATACACCCCCTCCACCCATCCCCACTGCCCCCATCAGCCCCCGATCTCATGCCATCACCCACCCCCGCCAGCCGTACGACCAGCCACTCAGCCCGTCGCGCCCGCTCTGCGCCCCGCCTCTGCCCACACCCCTCGACACTGCACTCAACGCCACCATGCGGCCAGCACCCCTCCTCGCCACCCTCGCTGTTGTTCTCACACTCACACTCGCCCTGGCTCTGGCCCAGGCCGGTCCACCACCACCCACCCCGTCACCGTACCGCAACCTGCCGCGTGTGCGCGGGACGGGCGTGGAGGAGGGCAGCTTGGGCGACGCCTCGGCGGCTCTGCTGAACATGGTGGGTGGGAGGGAGTGCAAGGCCCAGCTGGATCTGCTCTGGCTGGACGATGCTGATCCGGCTGGCTTTCATGCTCGCCTCCTCATCACTGCAGATGCTGTCATCGTCCCCACGCCCACCGCTTCGCTCTATGCTCTCGCAAAGCCGGATGGCAAGCCGCTCTCGGGCTTCTGGCCGCTCAACATGGCCGACTCGGCGCTGCGATTCGACTCGCCGCCGCTACCGCTTCCGAAGGGTGACTTTGCTATCTTTACTACTTCTGGTGAAGCTCTCATCATCAGTGCACAGGGCAGTCTGCGACGGGGCTCTGCTCTGGCTCTCCCGCCGCTTGCTGTCGATCGCCATCACCTGCCGCTGCTGAACGCTCCGCCGGGCGGGGCAGAGGTCCATGTCGTCCTTGCCTCATCCTCACCCGTCGCTCCTGCTCGCCAGCCTGTCAGCGATCTGGCGGCCTGGGCCTCGTCGCCGCACGCTATGGCCTTTATCGACGCAGACTACGGCCCGCCGCGAGCGACGGCCGATGCCGAGCTCGCGGTCGACCTTCACTCCCCGGCCTACGCAAAGTACGCCGCGGCCCACCGGCTGCCGCCGCAGTCTTTGCCGCGGCCGGGCGCCCGCCGCGCTCGCCCGCGCGCTCCTCCCGACTCGGCGAGCCACGCGTGGCGCCTGCTTGATCCCCACGTTCTCGCCCCGCCGCTCGCCGTTCCGCTCAGTGACGTTGTCGCCGTCGCCGTCTCCTACTTTGCCGAGCCAAGCGAGCGCCGCTATGCCGCGTTCTTTGCCGACGACTTGCCGCCGATGGCTGTCGCCGCCGTCGCGCTCGTCTCCTTTGCCACCGACGAGATCCTCGACGTTGTCCCTGTCGAGGCCTCGTACTATGAGCCGGACTCACAGTACACTGCCCGCATCTACGCACCGATGGTGGTCGGTGACGTTGATGGCGACGGTAGCAACGACATTATTGTCGCCACGTCCATGGGTGCCATCTACGTCCTCGACCTCGCCACCCGCAAGCTTCACGCCCCGTATCCGGTTTTCTTTGACTCGGTCCATGTCGCTCCAGTCCTCGTCCCTTCGCCGGTCGCCGGCTCACCGGGTCTCGCGCTCCTAATCGCCGACACTAATTCAAACGTGGTTCTCTTCTCCGGCGCCACCGCGTCTAGCCTCTGGCATGCCCGCGTCGCCGGCAACCCATCACCGCTGGTTGTGGCCGACGCCGACAACGACGGCGAGCTCGACGTCGTTCTCGGCTCCACCTCGGGTCACCTCTGGGCCTTCAGCCTTGCCGCCGGTGAGTCCCGTCCACACTTTCCGCTCCGTGTTGGTGGCCGCATCACCGCTGCACCGACGCCGCTCGCCCCCGGTGTCGTCGCTGTCCCGGCTCGTGATGGCTATGTGTACGTCGTCGAGGCGTCGGCATCGTCGGGTCACACTTGTGTGGAGAAGATCGACATTGGCGAGACGCTGCCGCATGCCCTCCAGGCCGCCGATGCCGATGCCTCGGGCGTTGTCACGCTCTTTGGCGCCTCGCTCTCGGGCCGCATCCTCGCCCTGGAGACCAATGTCGAGACCCGTGCCGCCGCGCTCGCCAGCGCCCTTGGCATCGTCTTTACCGAAGCCAATCCTGCTGCCGCCGCCGGGTGGTCCGTCCGCCTCCACCTCTACATCCACGACGCATTTGCCGTCGCGCCGGCTGAAAACGGCTACACTGTTGTGGTCACACTCGGGCACTCGGACAACGTCATCCACACCGCGACCGTTTCCACCCCCGGCGCCGTCAAGCTCGACATGCCGCTCAGTGCCATCACCACCCGAGGCCCGGTCACACTTGTGGCCCGAGTCCAGGCCCGCGGCATGACGTCAGGTGCTGCCGAGCTTGGACTTGTGGCCCACGACGCGTTTTACCGCGTCCTCAAGGTCTTTGTCCTCGTCCCGATGGCGTTTGCCGTCGCCGCGGCCTGGCTCGCATCATACGCGCCGTCGCGCTCCCAACGGGCTGGACTCCTCGGAAAGCATGCGTAGCGCACTGCGGCTGGCGAAGGATACAGGTATGTTTCACTTGGTCAGAGCTCGGCAATGACCGCATAGCACTCGTCGGCGGTCGGTCGCGCCTCGGGCTCGTGGCGGAAGCACTTACGGAGGAGCTTGCGAAGCGGAGCCGGCATCGACTTGGGGATGAGCGGGTGCTGTGTGTCGATGAGCTGGTAGAAGGCAGTACGCGGGACGTGGTGCCACGGGCGCTTGCCCGAGTACAGGTGGACGATGCAGCAGGCGAGCGCCCAGATGTCGCACTCGGACGATACCTTGGACGAGGCAAACGACTCGGGCGCCATGTAGATGTGCGTCCCGATCTGGCGGGTGTGAAGGCCGGCAGTCTCCTCGACCACCCGCGAAATGCCAAAGTCGGAGAGGAAGACCCGCGAGTCGGAGTCGACAAGGCAGTTGTCGGGCTTGAGGTCGCGGAGGACGATGTTGATGCGGTGCATGTCGCGAACACCGCGCGCCATGTCCTTGACAAACGAAAGGAAGAGATCATGCGGGAGCTTGCCGCGGTGCTCGTTGAGGACGTTGCGGAGCGAGCCGCCGTCGTACAACTCCATGACCAGGCACGGGAAGCCCTCCTTGGTGACCGACGAGCCCTTGAGCTCACAGACCCGGTCTGACGCCGCGCACGCTCGCGCAAGCACATCCAGCTCCTTCTCAAACGCCTCATGGACCGCCTCGGCCTGATCCGGCGACAGCGCCGTCGGTGTCGTTGACCCGTCGTGGATGATCTTGACCGCCACACGCCCGTGCTTCTTCCAATCCGCGGCGTGGACAACGCCGAACTTGCCACGTCCAAGCACTTCCTTCAGCGCAAGCTTCTTGAACGGAATAAACTGCTTGAGTGCAGTCGGCGACGCCGCTCCCGACGACGAGCTTGGCGATCGCCGGAACTTGCGCTTGAGCCAGCCGAGCATGGACGATGACGAACCACCCGTCACCGTCTCACCCTCGTCGGAGTACTCGGACTCGGTGAACTGCAAGTACTCCGATCCGGACTCGTCGCTCTGCTCTGTGTCCGAGTAGTACGAGTAGTACGATGACGACGACGCGAGCTGTGATGTCGCGCTGGAGAGCGACGAGCCCGAGAGTGCCGACGATGACGAGCCTGAGAGCTCGCCGATGCGAATAAGTGAACCAAAGAGCGGCTTCTTGTTGTGGACCTTGCGGCCGCGGTCGCGCCCGCGGCTGCGCCCGCGCCCGCGCTCCGCTCGAGTGTTGACTGCAATCTCGGTCAGCGGAGCACGCGACCGCTTCTTCCGCCGGCTGCGAGCCCCATCGCTCTCCGACGATCCGGCGAGGTTCTCCTCAAAGATGACTGTGCCTGCGGTCCGCGCCTGGACGCAATGAGCGAGGAGCTTGGTGATGCTGGCGTGGGTGTTGGCCACTCCACCGCCGCGCGCTCCGCTCGCCACAGGATTGCCGGAGAGCTCGAGCATGACGAGGGCCGAGTCGGCGCGGGCGGTAAGAAAGGCCTTGGAGACTCGCGAGATGTTGTTGGACGATGCCTCGAGGTGCTTGAGCGCTTCCAGGCTCGCCACCGCCCGCGGGAGTGTCGTCAGCTCGTTGTGCGAGATGCAGAGCCAGACAAGGTCATGCAGGCCCGAGAGGGCTTCAGGAAGTGTCGCGAGCCGGTTACCTGATGCATCAAGCCGCATCAGTGATGATGGGAGCTCCGCGGGAGCTTGCGCAGCTGGTTGTGTGAGACGTCGAGATGGAGCAGGCCGTGCGCGTTGGCGAAGACCCGTGGCGGCAGCTTGCGCATCGCATTGCCGGCAAGGCTGAGCGAGGTAAGGTGCGGATGGCAAAGGTGGAGATCGTCCGGCACGCTCTTGAGCTTGTTACGGGCGAGGTCGAGCGAGTTGAGGGAACCACACTCGGCGAGCGAGTCCCACACTTTGGCATCGAGCTTGTTGCCGGCAAGCTCAACTCGTTGCAGAGCCGTAAGGCGGTCGAGCCGAGGGATCGATGAGAGCTTGTTGTCGTTCAAAATTAGCACCCGCAGAGCAGGCAGGTCGGTTGCGAGGCGAGTGAGCGCCTTGCGCGAGAGCCTGTTGCCCGAGGCATCGAGCGAGTCGACCTCGTCCCCAGCCACAAGCACGCTCTTCGGCAGGCTGCTCCGTCCGCGCCCACGCATCTCGCAATACTCCATGTCTGCACACCAGGTTGAGAGTGAGGTGTGCCCACCCTTGTCCGCCAACACGCCGGCCGTACTGTCTCGCCAATCCGTCGACTGGCGGAGTGGCGGCGAGCGAGCCGCGCGCACACGAAAATTTCAAACTTTTTGGTGTACAGAAAGCAGCCGAGTCGGCCGCCAGCCACACAACTGCGCAGTGGAGGCAATCAGGAGACGATTCGCCTTGCTTTTTCTTCTTCTTTTTTGTGCAGCACTACGAGATGGTTCATCGTTCGCCACGATGAGGGCATTCAGTCAGGGGGGAGGGGGAATTCTTTTCAGCGCGCAAGAGTGGGAGGCAGGGACAAAGGGACAATGGATTGACTATTGGTCGATGAACAGCTCCAGCTTGGGGTTCTCCTCCAGAGCCAGATCAAGGTCGTCCTGGCACGACATGGTGACCAGATCGCCGTCCTCGTCACGGAACTTGAGGATGAGGTTGTTCTCATTGAACTTGCGGAAGACAGCCTGCTCGAGCTCGGTGAACGGAATGTCCGAGGTGACAACAATGACCCGGGTGTCGTGGAAGTGGCACTTGACCTTGACCCGGCGACCAGAGCCGCCGCCGCCGCCGCCGCCACCACCACCACCACCACCACGCGGAGCAGGAGGCGGAGCACGCGGGGCAGGCTTGTTCCATCCGCCGCCGCCAGTGGCGCCGCCACCGCGCCCAGCACTGCCACCACCGCGGGCCGCACCACCCCACTTGGGCGCACCGCCGCTTCCGCCGCCGCGCGCTGCGCCGCCACGGGCCGCACCACCCCACTTGGGTGCCGGTGCCGGTGCGGGCGGTGCGGGCTTGGGCTTGGAACCGCGGGAGAACGACGGGCCGCCAGCGCCGCCGCGCCCGCCACCACGCCCGCCACCGCGTCCGCCACGTCCGCCCCAGGGCGGCGTCGATCCACCGCCGCCTCCAGACCTCGGCTTGGCAGTACGCGAAAAGGTCGGCGGGGGAGCTGCGGGTCGGCCGGCAGAGCTCGGCTTGGCCGAGCGCGAGAAAGCCGGGGTCGGGGCGGGCGCTGGAGCCGGAGCCGGGGCGCGGGCAGGCGGCGGGGCTGGGGCACGCCCGGGCGTCACGTTGCGGCTCTTGGGCATCTCGTACTTGTACTTGGACGATGCCGGCGGAAGGTACATGATGCCTGTAGGGACTTGGAACGGGACGCCGTTAAAGTTGGTTGAGTCGATGATCGAGTGGTAATCTTCGGCCTTGAGCGACGAGGCCTCGGTCATGTCCCGGTCGGCCTCAGGAATGCGGCCCATGGCGTCGTAACCAAGGGCACGGTTGAAGATGACCTCGCAGCGATGGAGCTTGAACTCGAGTCCGAGCTGCTTGTAGTCGATAAAGTTGTTGGCGCGGAGGCGATCCAGCGCCATGGCGGCATCGGCCACACAGCCATCATAGTCGCCATTGTAGTAGCAGATGACTGAGCGCATGAAAAAGCCAACCGCCAGATACTCGTCGGTCTCCACAGCCTCGGTCATGTACTCCATCGCCTTTGACAAGTTCCTCTGCTCCAGATAGAGCAAGCCAATGTTGCAGCAAATCTTAGCCGAGTCGGCGATCTCCTCAAACTCACGAATGGCTCCACCAATGTTGCCAGCCTTGTACGCCTCCACCGCAGCATTCCATTTGAGCACAGTCTCCTACCATCCGCCACAACAACCCCTCCGCCCCATGAGTACCACCGCATATGTCCTTGTGTCCCTATGTCACCATGTCGAGCTTGAGGGCTGGGAGGGGGGGGGGGGGGGACACGCGCACCGCAACACCGGCTGTACCGCCCCCCCCTCCTCCTCCTTCTTCGGAGGAGACAAAGTATACCTAAAAGAGACAAAGGGGGGAGCTACTAAGGGGGAAAAACTTGTTCGCTCTATATCCACAGTATCCCCCCTAATATGTACCCGTCTCACGT